CTTTAATTTTAGTTTCCAATCCATGATTTCTATGCTTTAAATCATCTCGTTCCCAAAGGATTGATTTTAATTGATCTGATTGATAACGATTATGAGATTCAAGTTCACGTAATTTTTTGTTCAAATTACCATCGAATGTAGTAGAATTTGTATTTGTGGTGGTAAATAAAGTAGTTGAAGGTTGAGAGGACAAATTAGTGGACATGGTGGCAGCACCACCGGTACTATAAGAAGAAACACCACCGGAAGAGGTCACAGGATGATAGGGTTCTATATCTATTACAAAGTCACCACAACGTTGGTGAACATTATCATAATTACCACGTTGCATGAAAGAAGCGGTACTATAGTTACTAGTGGTTATGGAACGGGAGGGAGGTCTTGGAGGAGTGTAAGTATTGTAAGTATCACGGTTTATTTTCAAAGTATTGTTTTTAATATTAGGATTATTTTTTGGAGGATTGTCTATATAAGGAATGTTTGTATCGATAATACTGGTTTTTAAATCAAGATTCCTTCTATCTCTACTACTATTCATTGTTTATTTTATTTTGTTAAGGTCCACTTCATACGGAAAACACCCGAAAATTCTCTAAAAGTTTATATGCGAAAGTATAAATATATGTGCGTACGAACTTGTAATTTTTAAGATGGTTTTGGATGGATAAAAAATTTAAAAGATAGATATATTTGAAGGAAAGACTGAATTTATAAAGACATCTTGGGACCAAACCAAAAAGAGAGATATAAAAGTCCCGGTAAAAAACTCGTTTTTTTTTGCAGGGTTTTTTTTAAATAAATAAAATGGTAATACATTAACGATAAGATAATAGTACAGAATTCAATTTTTGGTAAAGACCAGAATAGCGGGTAACCTAAGTAACATCATTATATATCATTATATGTTGTTCTATTTACTCACTCATCACATATATATTTATAACCACAAAATAAATATGCATAAAAACCAATGAAAAGATTCTCGAGAAGCATGGATACAGATTATCATCTAATGCTTAGCACTTGTATAACAATAAAGGTAAAGAATTTCCACATATAAAAGTGAATCGAATGAATCAAAGTTGTTAAGTTCAATAGTACTTCAGTTTAAAAACGAAACATGCATGCTTTTTTTCACATTATCAGCGCGTTCAAAAAAGGAGAATTTCACGTTTCAAAAAACGTCGTACGATGTACGTATTACGGATATAACCTGTCATACGTATTACAGTATTATTACCTATTCAATGTAACAAATGTTATTATTTGTACAATGACATAACAAAGTGTTACGTATACGTAAAGAAAAACGGTTAACGTTAACGTTAATAACAAATATACTTAAAAAATCTCCGTGGCTTAATTTTTTTGACTAAAATTCTGTAACTTTTTCACTTTTAAATTTTTTAAAATCTAAAATTCTAACATGCACGTCTTTGTAAAACATGTAACATTTAAATATGAACAAGGGGATCATCTTAACAATGAATGAGCTGTAAGATAATTCCGCCCTAAAGGCTTGAACTCACCCTAAAAGCTTGAAGTATCAGACTGCATCAATTCTAGTTTTCCCATTCAATGCAGATTATCATCACATTTTCATGAATATCCTTTTGATTCTAACTTAAGTGCTCAAATTACCTCCCACTACATAAAGATACTGAAGGATCATGGAATAATTCATTCAATGAATACGTAGTGTCAAAACTATGTATTATTATTACAAATTAGCTGATTCTATCTTACGTATTATAGTTGAAATTTACTATATTCAGCAGTTCATTAATTGAATATGTATCACTACATACATACGTAGCGTTTTTTTTTTTTGATCACAACAAAAAAATTTAACACTGAATCGTTACATTAAACACTAGTATATAGATTGAATAGAATGAACGGGAGGTTTTCTCATTAATTAAATTAGAGTTTGGAACCGGTTTTATTTTTCATATGACAAACCGGTTTTAATCGGTTTTTACATATGAAAAATAAAACCGGTTCCAAACTCTAAATTAGCAATTGTTTTACCATTACAGTATATATATATTTATATATATTTAGTTACAAAAATGATTTTTAATTCCGGTGTTTCTACCACAATGCTTCAACAAATATAAAACTGATGTTGGTTTTAAAATTTTTGAGTTTTTTTTTTTAGGATTAGGTTAGCAATAAAAAAGAGTGAGAGATCTTAGTGAATGTGACTTTAACGAGTATTAAGACCTAAAATATTAGCATTAGTTGCCACAATATATATTTATTATTATTGGATTTTTACAGAAACATCTCAAACAAAGATTGCAATTAAATTACACATTTGGACTATATATTAGAAAATATATATACGTTCATTTATGCATGCATTGGGCGTTCGTTAAGGATATATATGTATTTATCATTAATTATTTATGTATCAAGGCTTAAATAAGAGTATAGAATGTGAAAAATTATCTTAATTTAAAACAATTGAAGTTTTCCTACGTTTTACACAAAAGTAATAATAACATTATTATTACGAAAA